AAAACAATTCCAAAATACTTAAAATAACTCAACTAATCCAGCCCATACACAAGGCTTTATTCAATCCATTATTAATAAGACTCAAACAAGCCCAAATTATCCCAAATCACTTAAATCCAATTAAAGTTACGAATTTAGGCTGTTCAAAAAACTCATATTTGAACTTTCCACAATTGGCCAGTCCATCATTCACATGTTTTTGAGTAAAAACTTGGAGCAACTCTTTAAGTTTCTTTACCTTTGATCTTGTTACTGGTTCGCTGAAACTTTCTAGGTTTGGAACTGTATTTGTGTTTACATCATTTGAAATTTGCTCCAAGTCACATTCTGATGCTCTTTGAGTATTTTGAGTGTTTTTAGTCTTGTTTGCATCAACATAGTATGCTTGAAATCAGTAACAATTTAATTTATCAGATCTACCAGACACGGAACATGCAAATAGGCAACATAACATAATTATTAATTTAATTTTATTTAAAAATACTCCTTAAGACGTTTAAAGAAATACTAAATTTCTTACTAAAACCTTAATAATTTCTTCTACACCGTTCTTCTACTTCTTTCCTTATCTCTCTAGATCACTCTCTTTCTCTCTCTCTTTCCAACTCTTAAAAGGTGGAAGGATGGAAGTGAGGAGAAAATGAAAGGAAGGACCCCTATTTATAGAAAACGAGGGCCATTGGATTTGCGTTAAGTGGAAAAATCCGGTGAAGAGAGAATGTTGAAAAATGGGAGATGCTTGATTTGATGCAGTATGAAAAATGGAGGAAAAAACCTTCTCCACTAGCGACGGCACCTCAAGCAGCGGCATGCCGCTCAAGGTGGGTGGCAGCACACTGCCCAAGGGAGCAGCAGCTCACTGCCCAAGGGGGGCGCCGACACACTAATCGAGGCAGCAGTGAGCCTCACCTGCTCGGTGCGCGCTGCAAGCCTAGTTTGCAGCGCTGGGCTACCTTGCCATGCGCGGGAGCTGGCTTGTGCGCATTGGGCTGCCGCGTGTAGACTATTCCGCGCAGCTTGTTACGCAGACGACGCGCGCAAGCCTATTCGCGCAGGCCTACTGCACGGAAGGCGCGCGCACAATGTGTGGCGCCTGCCCTGTCCTCTGCGCCGTTCGTGGATGAGAAGTGCGAACTGTGTGCACGTCTTGCATACAGTGCGGGGGTGCCCACGTTGGCAGCCCTTTCCCGCGGGATTTTCTTGTGGGATTTTCTCCCCTGTTTTTTCATTTTTTTTCCTGAAAATCGTTTATTTTAAAAAATAACGATTAAATAATTAAATTAAAATAAAATTAGATAAAATTAAATAAAATCAAAATAATATAAAATCGACATAATTTATGAATTACGATAATAAGCTATGAAATAAAATAAATGAATTCCGTGTGGCCTTTAGGCCCAAATAAATAGGGTTTTCCCAAATACAATTAAGCACAGTGGTGAGCGGAGTGTTACATCCCCCCACCTTAGAAAACTTTGGTCCCCAAATTTGTTTTGAACAGGTCCGAAATTTTTTCCCTCATTTCGCTTTCCAGCTTCCATGTCGCCTCTTCTGATGTATGATACTGCTACCGTACATTAACCGTGGGAATTTTCTTTTTGCGAAAGACCTTTTCGGTCCATCCAAGAATCTCCACGGTGAATTCGTCATAAGTTATATTGGATTGTACCTGTGTCTCATTGTGATGAATAATATGAGAATGGTCAGGGTGGTACTTTTTGAGTATCGAGACATAAAAAATATTATGTAAATCCGTAAACTCTTGGAGTAGAGTAAGGCAGTACGCTACGGGTCCAATGCGTTCGACGATTCAAAAATGTCTCACATACCGAGAGCTTAATTTCCCTCTTTTCTCGAACTGCATTTTTTCCTTGTAGAGAAAAACCTTGAGGAAGACCTGGTCTCCAATGACGAATTCCAGGGGTCGCCTATGATTATTGGCGTAACTTTTTTGACTGCTCTAGGTGGTAGCCAAGTTCCTACGGATGATCGCGACCTTCTCAATAGTCTCTTAGATGAAGTCTGGTATCAAATAGTGCTGGTTTCCAATTTCGCTCTAACAAGTGAGAGAACGGTAGGGCTTACTGTACAAGACTT